CACGACTACTCCTACGACGACGACGACGACGACCACTACTACTACCAGTACTACGGCGACTACCAGGAACATTACGATTATTACAAAGATTATGACGATTAATAAAAATAAAAACCATGACCACGATTACGACGACGACGACTCCCACTACAACTACGGCCAGCACATGCTTGCTGTCGTTGTAACGGGCACTGCAACTCTGTTTCTTCAACATGTAGCCAAAGCTTCACTCACTTCACAGCTGCCTCTACGACTCTACGACCTCTCACAAGCTTCGACATCGGGAATCATCTCCCTAAACCCCAACCCCAAACCCCCTAAACAGCGGGAATCATCTCCCTAAACCCCCAAACCCCAAACCCCCTAAACAGCGGGAATCATCTCCCTGAACCCTAAACCGCCTTAACCTCGACCCCAAAGCCCTCGAAGCTGCGAAAACCCCGAAGCCCTGAAGCTCCAAAAGGCTCTTACCCTGATATAGTACCCTAAATAGTAGGGGGTTTAGGGGTTTAGGGGTTTAGGGGTTTAGGGTTTTAGGGTTTAGGGTTTAGGGTTTAGGGTTTAGGGTTTAGGTAGGATCCTTATTAGGGGGTTTCCAAAAATAGGGGACCCTGATATAGTACCCTAAATAGTAGGATCCTTATTAGGGGGTTTCCAAAAATAGGGGACCCTGATATAGTACCCTAAATATAGTAGGATCCTTATTAGGGGGTTTCCAATCCCACACTTCGTTGGCTTCTTTCTAAACCTCAGTGATAGCCCGAAGCAGAGAACCGGAAACCTTACACAATCCTAACCCATGAATGTCACTCCCTCCCCCGGAATCCAAAGAATATGCCTAAGTTTGCCTAAGCTTGAAGGGATCCTCAATAAATTTGACTTAAGGTATATAAAGGTTAAGGTATATTATATAACGGTATGTATGGCTATACTGGCTACTGAAGAGCTTTTGGAGTCTTTTCGAAGCTCCAAGCCTCGAACGGCACGTGTTTGATCCGCTTGTCGTAGAGCAAAGGCGCCACGGTGAGAGGTGAAATTCCTGATTGTTGTGTGCGTCGGGGGTTGGAGCCTCCTGCTTAAGGCTTGGATTTGGCTTTGGGGTTATAGGGCTAGTGTAATACGTTTAAGATTGACGATGGCCTTGTCTACCGCTAGCTGTCTTGCATACGAAGATGATGAACGCTAATATCATTCATTACAACAGGTGCTTTGGGTCTATTGCAGTATGCTTTACCAATAATCGTCTGTAAGGCCTCGAATTAATGTAGGGGCCTTAATCATTAGAAAAGGGTTTTGGGGGTTCCTGATTATAATCATAGTATAATGTACCCCAAACCCTATTCTAATTATTAAGGCCCCAAACCCTAAACCCTTATAGTAGCCCTTATAGAACCCTTTAAGGAACCGTCTAAAGGAGCTCCTCAGAAACCCTATTCTAATTATTAAAGCCCCTAAACCCTAAACCCTTCTATCATAGCCCTTATAGAAGCCTTTAAAGGAGCACCCAAAACCCTATTCTAATTATTAAGGCCCCTAAAGCCCTAAACCCTTATAGTAGCCCTTATAGAACCCTTCAAGGAACCGCTTAAAGGAGCCCCTCAGAAACCCTATTCTAATTATTAAGACCATCTAGAACCCTTACAGTACCCTTATAGAAGCCCTTATAGATCCCTTTAAGGAACCCTGTTAAGGATCCCTTTAAAGGAGCCCTATTCTAGTTCCTAAGGCCCTCACTAAATCAGGGTCCGTTCTTCTTAGGTCCTCAATATAGTACGGCACCCTTATAACTCTTATAGGTCCCTCGAAGGAGCCCTAAAAGGGATCCTAATTCAAGGCCCCTTACCCTAAACCCTAAACCCAGAACCCTAAACCCTAAACCCTAAAGGTCGAGTCTCGGTTGTCCCACCAGCCGTGGATGATGTTCCACACCTCACAGCGAGACCCCCTGAACCCCTAAACAGGGTTTAGGGTTTAGTAGGTTTTTTAGGGTTTTTAAAGCTTTTTTAGGGCTTTTTAGGGTTTTTTAGGGTTTAGGGTTAACCCCTAAACCCTAAACCCCTAAACCCTAAACCCCTAAACTCCTAAACCCCTGGACTCCTAAATCCAATAAACCCTATAAACCCTGTTTAGGCTCTATAGGGGAGGACTTGTCTTGAACGCCCGAAGTTTAAACCCTACAGGGTTTGGGGTATATTATACTCTTGTCATAATGAGGAACCCCCCAAACCCTAGTCTAATGATTAAGGCCCCTACATTAAATTATTGGGACTACTCTAAGGGACCTTCAGGGACTATCATAGGGATCCGTCCCCCATTCCCTACTAAGCACCAGACAGGTTTTAGGGGTTTAATGTAGGAGCCTTGATGATTAGAATAGGGTTTGGGGGCTTCCTTATTATAACTAGAGTATGATATACCTCAAAGCCCTATTCTAATTATCAAGGCCCCTATACTAGGTTCCCCTGAAACCCTTGTTTAAGGTTATGGGGTGTGCAATGCCGCACGCTTGCCAAAGATAGGCGCCTTCATGGCCTGGGTATTTTGGCCTTCTCTCCCAATTGGCCCTTGGTTTAGGGGTTTCGGGTTTCGGGGTTTAGGGTTTAAGGTTTAGTACTGTTATGGGGGGATACTTTCCCAACAAAAATAGTACGGATTCTCCAGATTCCTGATGTAGCAACCCTACATTCTAGCAAGGATTCTGCAGATTCCTAATGCAGAAACCCTACATTCTACTATATGGGTAGCTCTCTAAATTAGGGTCCCTTTTTAGGTCCCCAATATAGTACGGCACCATTATAAGAAGGCCCCCGAAAAGGGACCTTGATTTAGAGAACTACCTATATGGGTACATTTGACCCTTGTGTCTGATCTAGGGCAGCGCAAGGCTTCGAAGCTGCTAGGAGTTTGGATTCACTGCGCTTGGGCGTTTCCGAACGGTTTAGGGTTTAGGGTTTAGGGTTTAAGGCTTAAGTTTAAGGTTTTGGGATTTAGGGTTAAAGGCTTATTTCAGGTTCCGTATAATAAGGATCCGACTATTTGGGGGACTCTATTAGGGTCCCCTATTTTCGGAAATCCCCCACTTGGGTTGTTGAGATTCCAAGAAGTCGCCTTGCCTGTGACCTCGAGAAGACTGTCGCACGGAACCTTTAAGTAACCCTTGAAGCCCTTGAAGGAATCATTAAAGGAAACCTTGAAAGAAACCGTTGAAGAAAACCCTAAACCCTAAACCCTAAACCCTAAATCCTTAAAGTAACCCTTAAAGGAAACCCCTTACAGGAACCCTTCGGGGCCAAACTGCGAGGCACCAACTGAAACATATCTCATATAGAGGCCTTAATAGTTAGAATAGGGTTTCAGAGGAGGTTTCTACAAGGCTACTATAAGGGTTTAGGGTTTAGGGGCCTTATTTTCGAAGAAGACTTTTCGGGCCCATTATACTCTAACCATAATGAATAGGATTTTTGGGGCCCATTATATTATAACTACAATACGGAAACCCCGAAAATAGTACTGGTAATTATCTAGCCCCTACATTACAAACCCTAAACCCTAAACCCTAAACCCCTAAACCCTAAACCCTAAACCCTAAACCTTACCTGTGTTTAACACCCGGCCGATCTGGCACTGGGTCCGAGAATCCGAGATACTTCGGGCTCAGGGTCTCAGAAAGGGCTACCGTAAGGGCTCTAGGGACTCTAGGGACTCTTGGGTTGAGGGTTTAGGGTTTAGGGTTTAGGGTTTAGGGTTTAGGGTTTAGGGTTTAGGGTTTAGGGTTTAGGCTTTAGGGTTGGGGGGTTAGAACAATGTGTTTCAGAGCTGAGGGGTGAGGACTTTGGTTTTAGGGTTCCCAAAGGGTCCAAGTAATAGTATAGTATATACTTTTGGGTCCCAACTACCTACCAAGTACCGACTATAATGGTACTTGGAGCCTTTGGGGTTATGGTCTACAACCATAAGGAGGGCCGTCACGTGCCTCTGTATGCACCTTCAAGCGCAAGCCGTTGTTCAGGACCACGACCCATCCTTCCTATGCCACGGGACGAGCTCGGAATCCGGGCCCCCACATTGGGGGTTCCCAAAAATAGGGGACCCTAATATAGTACCCTAAATAATAGGTTCCTTGTTATAAGGACCCCAAAATAAGGTACCCTAATTTTCGGAAAGTCCCAAATTAGCCCCTATGGATTAAGACGGGTTTACACAAACTTAGCAGAATGATTCTGAGACTCGCGGGTGAAACAGAATCTCGGTTCGGCTACGGAGCAACACTATTCCACATAGCACGTCGATGCGAATCACCATGCTTGCTTGCTTGCTCTTGGAGTTCATGGGTAGAGATAAAGAGTGATACTGTTGATGGACAAAATTCTGCATGACCCAAATATAGTATAGTACCATAAATCCCATAGTTTAGGTATATAATGTCATGCAGGATTTTGTCCATCAATCGTACATGGGAGATCGGGGATAGTCGAGGTACAAGTAGCAATAGATGCGGACATAGACCTTCCTCCTGCACCCTAAACCCTCAACCCTAAACCTTAAACCCTAAACCCTAAACCCTCCCAAAAAAAAATCCCTAAATGCCAAACCATAACCCCTGAACCCCAAACCCCCAAACCCCAATCCCCAAAGCCTAGAGACCCTTGCCCGTAACCCCCATGCATCTCTTCTCTCCTGCAGTGCTCCGGGCTCGGCTGGCATGACCTGAAGTCGTGTCGCAGTGTTGAGGCGTCCCCGGGTTAATGCAGGGCCTCACTAGGTCCCCAAAATAGTACGTCGCCCTGATAAAAGGGACCCTAAAAGGGACCC